TAAAGAGTATGAGCACCTACCTAGCTCCAAGAAGATCCTTTTGAGAAACAAAAAGATTTTTCCCAGATGCTAAACCATTAGAATTCTTATGATTAGTCTCGTTTTAGTTTTGTAACGCTCAATATAAAAAGGGCCCTAAAATCTTGGTGTAAGTTACCCTCTGTTAGATGACAAACACAACAAATTTGACATTGCCTAGTTCTTTACATCAGAGTGTTGGTGTATGTGAGAAGAGAAACACAGGAATATAGGGCCATTCATGTGGGAGAAAATATGACAAGTTTTGTTTCAAACCAGCTCAAGGACATATTCCTAAAATCATTAACTTTGTTCTTTTTATTAGTATACAATACAACTTGACTCCAAGTAAATGTAGGAAATAAACTGAACAAAAGCAATTCTACCACTTTGAACCACTACAAAAACCAATGAAATGTAGAGCCTTTGATCTAGATAGTGTTCAAATTCCTAATGTCAGTTTACTCCAACTACCACTAAATTATTTCTTTTCCATTATTAATTCCTGTCACACCTAAATTATTGTTACACAACCCACATTGCTCATTCGGTTCTATGCAAATACTTCAGCCTTAACATTCTAAACATAACAGCACACTTAGCGGTTGAACATTTTTTTTTCTTTTTCTAAGATGTTTCAAACCAGTTTGTTTCTTACTTTCCCTTGTCTCAGAATAGCATATCAAATACAAGACAAACTGGTTTGAAAAAAAATTAAACAAAGAAAAAAATTCACTGAAATCAATGAAGTGTACTACATACAATATACATGCTACATACAGATTTTTCTAGTCTCTGCAAACTTCTGGTTAAAACTTGTTCCATAGTTTTGCCAAATACAAGGCCATAGAAAGTGATTTAAAGGTTGGTGCTGGAAATTTTAGCAGAGTTTGGAACCATTAAACCTACATGTGATCCATGTGAATTAACACTAACTCTCAGTTTGATATCACAATAACTTAGTAGAGACAAGAACTTTCAGTTTCAACTATTGAATGTGGGAATCAACCTTGCAATAACACGGCGACACACAGGGCAGTTGTTGACCCGTTGAGCACAGTCTATACAGCAACAAATATGGCCACAGTCTAAAATAACAACATTGCGCTGTCTGTCCATGCAAATAACACAGGCTTCTTGCTGATCTAATACTTCACCCTCACCCAAAACATTCACCTCCTCTCGCATTCTCCGCATCAAGTCCAGTTCCACTTCCCTGTCACGCCGTCTCTTGAAATAAAGAAACAGGGACACCAAGAACAATATGCCACTTCCAAAGGCAAAGATGGCACTCAAGATTTTCCAAACCTTCTTTCCTGACTGCAGCTGTCTCACAATAGCATCTAATGTGAATTGAGATAGATAATAAGTCAGACCAGATTTTGGGGGTCCTATCTTGATGCCATCATCAGTAAGTGTGATTTCTCCAATTCCAGTGAGAGTTGTACCAACTGGTAACATCTGTTCAATTGTCTGGAAGCCTTTGGTCTTGTCACCACTGGCCCACTGTACTAAGGACTCTGCCACCGAGCTACTAACTGGTTCAAACTTGTCATGAATAACTTTGAGGGTAAGTTGTTCAGCTGACAGCGGTTCCATGACATTAACACAGTCACCATTTCTAAACAAACAGAATGGAACTGAAGATGATGCTGAGCTGATAGTTCTCTCCATGTCATGCCTGTAAGTGGATACAAAAAGTTAAACCAGCATAAGATAAACCCCAAATTGAGCATGCACCTGTATTACATTACAACTTCAACATGGACAAAGTGTGCAATTAATTAAGAATTCTGGTTTTAATGAACACATGTGCAATGAGATGCTAAAATTACCCAGGGATACTGGACACCACTTAGTATCCTTGTGACTGCTTGCAGATTCATCAAAACAAATTGGCCAGCTTTATTGATTGCAAACCTGTTTTGATCGCATGAGTTAAATGCACAGTTGACTAAAAACATGATGGCACTTCCACAAACTGTGGGCTTCAAAGCTGAAGCAGTCGATGAAGGAGGAGTTTGGTGTGCATGGGCTGTTGAAGAAGTAGACAATGATTCTGTCCTTTGACAGCTGGAATGCAGAGTGGAATGGCCGCATTTGTGATCCACAAGAGATCAGGGATCAAACATTGCTGGATCGGAAAAGAAAGCGAAGAAACCTTTCCCTTCAGTGAACAATGTCTTCACTTAAAGAAGACCAGCTTTTACTTTTAAATATCACCCAAACTTGTGTAAACAAAAAGCTCAAATCACGGTTTGCTTCAATTTCAAACTTGAATTTGCATAATCATTCAAAGACAAAATCTTTAAGAATTTCAAAGTTAAAAACCATTTTCTAAACAACATCTGCTTTATCTTTATCCACTTAGCAAACAAAGCTTTCCAAATTATGGTCAAAACACCAACTACAAAATAAATAATAATTAATTTAACAAAGTTCACTTTGAATTTCTCGATCTATCCTAGTTTCTCTGACAGCATCCAAACAAGTTTTACTACACAGCTTCCATCTAAGACTCTCAGTGGAACATGACGTAAAATACGTCATGCGTTACTGAGTAACAGTGCTCATACATATGCACGAACCCCACTTGAGTGGGGTTCACAGAATTACCCACTTTGTCCGTGTTGAAGTCGTCATGAGGAGAACTCAAACTCAGGTCACGATTCTGTCTTCTAGAATTGTACTGTCTTCTGACTACAAGTTCTCTTCACAGAAAGCATGTTAATAGTCAGCAGGCATGTCTTTTAAGCACACATGGACAAAGAAACTTAGCTCTTTTGTAACCCTAACTTAGGTTGTGATTCTGTCATTAACTGCTGACTAAAAGTTCTCTTAGCAGTATGCATGTTAGTCAGCAGCATACATGGACAAGAAAATTTGGCCCTTCTGTAACCCTAAACATTTATTACAATATCTGGATCAGTGTGTACAGTGAAACCAGCATAAAATGAACCTCAAATTTAGCATGCACCCTGTATTAAGAAAACTCAAACTTTGGTCATGATTCTGTCTTTTACCACTGACTACAAGTTCTCTTTACAGCAAGCATGTCAAAACATGCTTACTGCAGAGAGAACATGTGGTCAACAGGCACACATGGACACAACAACTTGGCATTTTTGTAACCTTAACCTTTATTACAATATCTGAACACTTTGAAAATAGATTTTTATATGTTTGGAAAACAGTTTAAAATTGTGTTCAGTTTATGTTTTAAAAAACTAATTCAACTATTAAAAGAACCGAATACATCAACAAGGCTTTTTGATGTTGTGCTGCACCAAAATATCAAGTGAGTCATCATTGCACAATTTTACAAGAACATGTATTATCATCATCATCATCATTATCATTATTGTTTCCTACCACAGCCTTGTTGTTCGACTCCATTCACTCTTATGTTCACGTGTTCTGACACGCTGCATGACTCCAGTAACATCTGCAACATGAGAACTTCTGATCACCTCATTAGATTTCTGAGGCTTTGTCTCTCCTCTGATAACACCATAAGGTATTGAGTGGGTGTCAGAGGCCAAAAGGGCATTCCTCAGTTGTGATCCAATTTCAAATTCTACTGCATTCTGAATAAAACCAAAGCATTCATAAGCATTGCAGGTTATACCAATGTAATTGAACAAGCTTCCCCCACAGTTTTGTGGTACCCATTCATACTCCTGAATGGAGAGACTTTGTCAGAGTTAAGTGTTTGGCTCAAGAACACAAAAAAATGACCTAGCCAAGATTGAAAAACAGAACTTAAGTTATGGGGTCCCGGGTGTCCATCATTAACCCTTTACACCCTGACATCAGTGTGCATATTCTCCTCACTGGAATGCGTACAGTGCTGACTAGGAAAATTTGTTTCACAATCTAGAGTTTCTTTGGTTGGTGATCATTTCCTTTATTCTTGTGGCCTTCATGTTTCATTCAGGGGTGTGATATTGTTATACCTTATCCATAATTTTATGCTAGAAGATGTACACCTTCAGTCAGTTCCAAATGGCCCCTAGATATTAGTTTGGTGATTAGGCTGACCCTTGAGACGTCTGTTCATATTTAAAATTTAGACGAGATATGAGCTAAGATTCAGCTGAGTTAATGTTACCAGGAGAAATTTCAACAGGGTCATCATGATTTAACTGGGTGCAGTCTTCCAAATTTCTTCCTGGTAACCTAACTTAATTATTATAGGTAAATTTTTAGACTAGCGATCAAGATCACGGTGGTAAAACAGAGGCCTTGGGCCACACTGGAATTGTAAAGAAAGGAAGCGTGGTGGGGCGAGATCTTGGTAAGGGTCAGTAGCCTAATTGATCGGCAAGGAAAAGTCCTACACAGTCAGAATAACTTCAAAGAGTCCCATCATTTCCTTCACCTGTGTCGACATACTTATGTAACAAAAAAAGACACATAAGATTCCTAAATGGGGTGTCAAAGTTCCCTGAAGCTCAGAAGTACATAATGCAATCGAATCATTTTTTCGTTCTTTTTGTTGTTGGAAAGATCGTACGGTCTCAAAACTTGAGGAAACCTTTGTCTATATCACAAAAATTTTAATCCTTGGATAAAAGGACATTCATGTTATTGATTTACAAAGAATCATATAGAAAAATCTCAAGCGAAACCGGTCTGAATTATAGACAGAAACGCAAGATAGAACACGCACGAACCTGCAAGCTTCGTATGGCACCTTCCCTGTTTTTGTACACACCATAGAATAAAGCTGATACAGCAGCGCTTCCTAAACCAGCAAACAAGTAAAAATGATCCGACATTGCGGGTTCAGATGTCTCTTTCAGGGATGGCTTTTAGAAGTTCACCACTACGAGAACCGCCATATTTTCTCAATGTTAGGTACCAGTTTTACGCAAGTTTTTAAGTTCCGGCCGAGGGAATCTTGTAATAATTATGTAAACTACACCCTTCCCACCAACCCAAGCTCCCGTAGCACAGTCGGTTAGAGCGTCGTACTTATAAGCAGTAAAGGCGTTTGGCGCCGAGGGTGCTGAAGTAATGCGAAGGTCGGGGGTTCGAGCCCCCCCGGGAGCAAGGGGCATTTTTTACCCACCCTTTTTTTATCTTCTTCTGTTCAAGTAAAAATGTTCCTAATTGAGACATCCCTGAATTATGTTCCCACTCAATTCGACGAGTAACTTCAAAGTTAGACATGTCGTTTGAGCTGACGCAGTTCAAAACAATTAATTTGAACAATTCGTGTTCTTGGAAGTATCTGATAAGCGATACGCTCTTATTAATCTTAATGTGAAAATCATACTTCGCATTAATCCAATTTTTTTTAACTGCCGCAATGCGTCTTTTGTAATCCGAAGAAATCTCTCTCCTTGTCTTCCTATATGCTTTGATATCACTTATTCTAAGTTCGTGTTTTTCTGTTATGCCCAGGTTCAAGAGTCGACATACGAGTTTTATGACTCAAAACATTTTACACCATGGTGGCTCTTTCAAACAGTTTCAATGAATGAGAGCAGTTTTCTTGTTGGACAGAAGATGTTAAAAACTATGTTTAACCAGAAAACATATTATAGCTTGCATAATATTCATTTTATTACCAGAATAATCTGAAAATAAAGAAGGTCAACATTTTTCTGGGCTATGATATTACAAATACAACAAGAAAAGTTTTATGACTCGCTATCGAGGTATGACTTTGCTCGGTGACGGCTCGGGTCAGAAACGGTTTGTGTTGTAGTTTCATTCAAGAACTGGAGCTCTTCGGGTCTTCAAGGTGTTGAAAAGCTGGTAAAACGGTTTTTCATTACTGGATCTTGCTTTCTTTTCAAGTGGAATATCGGCCAATTCTTTCACTTCCTTTACCTCAGCTTTTAGGGGTTCCTAAAATCATAAAAGGCAAGTGAAATAATTATTTATTGTCGGTCTTTCAAGCTAAGCTAAATGTTCGAATACATTATCGTTAGTTTTGTGTTAGAATGTTCAGTACTGTTAAGCATTCTGCTTGCCTGCCGAGGCGTAGTTCAATTTGTTGAAAATATTTCCAAAATGTTACAATTCAAATAAACATGAAATCCTTTCTTTGCATGTTCAGAATCTCAGTCGACGCAGCCTTACCCACCCCACCCATTGACTTTCTCTCGTTATTACAACTGATTGGACAGTTTGCTGACGCTAATAGTAAAAAACCTTGAAACAATCATACCTTGTTGAATGCTGAATCAGAGACGATCGAGCGGCCAGCATAAAAATTATGTGCAAGTTGACCAGATGTGAACTGAACCTGAAGCACAACAAGAACACAACACACCAACCAACAACAGGACAATTTTAGACCACAAAACATTTTTAGATCTTCACGCAACGAAAACTTAAGTCTGTTTGAACGCTTCCACGATGCGATCCTCTTTAAATTTACACGCATGTATTAATT